GACCTTGTTCTACGGCTAAAAGAATGTCTGAAATTCAAGCCTTCTCCAGTGATCCGAATGACGTTCAGGTTTTCCACGATAGAATTATCTTTAGACCTAGACTGGAATTCTTACCTAAGGTGGTTTCTCGTTTCCACTTGGCACAAGAAGTGATTCTACCTTCCTTTTACCAAAACCCTTCATCTTCGGAAGAAGTTAAACTCCATCAATTGGATGTGAAGGAATGTGTAAAGAAATATATAGAAGTCACTAACCTATTTAGAAAATCGCAGCACCTATTTCTTATCCCTTCTGGATACAGAAAGGGAGAGGCAGCCTCTACCGCTACTTTGACGCGTTGGGTTTCGAACACCATAAAAATGGCCTATAAAGTCAAGAACCTCTCCCCTCCGGAAAAGATAAAGAACCATTCTACTAGAGCATTGGCTACCTCCTGGGCTAACTGGGCAGAGGTTCCTCCTGACGACATATGCAGGGCAGCCACCTTGTTGTCACCTATAACTTTCATCAAGCATTACAAGCTGGATGTGGCTTCTTCCTACTCATCCTTCGGGAGAGGAGTTTTGTCCTCAGTTAACTCTCATGAATAAATCTATTTTGCAGCAGAATGATGGGGTCTTATTTTTTTCACCCTCCCTTTGTTGCGGAGCTTGGGTATTACCCATTCGTGATGCTGCCATGAATGGCCAGGAAAACAGAAAATTTTCTCCTACTTACCGTAATTTTCTTTTCCTGGCTATAATTCATGGCAGCATCAGCAACCCTCCCATGTTTGTTTTAGCTTTATACTGGACTGTGGGTTGGAGGGAGGAGGGACCTTTTATACCTACAGTCTGGTTATAATTGGTTAACTGTTTTCTGTCCTGTTAGGTGCGGAGCTAACCCATTAGTGATGCTCAGGGGCGGGGGGCAGGGAGGCAATTGCCCCACAGGCCGCCCTAAATCCTTTTAAAACCGGCCGCTGCAGGGCCGTTCCTAATGCTGCAGCCGCCTGAGCGCTCTGTTAAGAGCCTCAGGCGGCTGCAGCACAGCTTCTCTCCTCCCCTCCCCTGTAGCGTGGCTGAGCTCTTCTCAGGTCCGCGATGCCCGGCCAGAGTGATAGGAAGGTGCACACTCAGTCACTCAGTGTGCACTTCCTGTCAGTCCGGCCGGGTACAGGAAACAAACTCTGCGCGGTACAGGAGTTTCTGTACCCGGCTGGACTGACAGGAAGTGCACACCTTCCTATCACTCCGGCCGGGCACGCTACAGGAAAGGGGAGTAACAGAAGGAGGGAGGGGGGAGTAACAGAAGGAGG